GTCATGGCGCGTACAGTCCAGCAGCGTTCCAACATACGTTTTGTTCCGCCATGTCACATTCACCACCAGCATCCCTGAAAAGGATGAGAGAAGATTCTCATTATAGTGGGAGAATAATTCCACCCTCTTTGTCACCCCTACGAAGGCTCGATGTCAGAATTATACAGCAGAGTTCTTCCTTCAACCTTGTGTCTCATTCATGAGCAGCCACTCTCGCCTCTCTCTGTATTCCCCGCATAGCTGTGGCAGATGTGCTGTTCCCATTTAAACAGATCAAATAGAGGTTTCTAAGGGCTGTGCTCTCAAAGAGATCCTCCTATTTTTACTGCCTGCTTCATGATTACAGCGGGCTAAGAGCAGCAATGTGCAGAGTGAGTCATTTCTGGGGGAAAACTGGTTGATGGTGTCCTACGTCTGACTTTGCAGCAGTGAGCAGCCCTGCCTCTGCTTCCGCTAGCACTGTGGTTATTGTGAGAAAAACAGCTGAGGCGAATAAAAGGACAGGATCAAAGAACTCCAATAGATGGGATTGTCTGGGTGAGACAACAGTGCTGCTATGACTGTGCGCTTCCGTTAGAGCGGTAATAATCAGCTCAGCTGACATTATATTTATGCACTGTTAGCAATTCAGGTAACGATGTGACTGAAAATGTTGTCTCAGGCATTCTACTGTGGTGATAGGGTTAGCATGTAATGGTTAATATACTACATTTGGCAAAGCGTCAAGGATACATTTTTCATGGTAGTACACTAAGTGAAATACACATTTAGTCACCACCTATTTAATCTTACACAAGGAATGAAGTGATGAAAGGTTTATACAAAGTCAGAGAGATGAAATCCAGCAGATGAGCAAGTTACTCCTATTAAATCATGCACAGCCATTTTCCTTGCTTTACACTCACTCCAAGCTCCACTAGCTGCCAAATGTACTAAAATGCAGTCATTCCTGGCTAATGCTGATAAACACCCTCCAATAATATCATCATAAGTAAAATTTCCTAAAACATACCACGTGTAACTATCTTCCCGCCCGCCTTATGTCACACACAGACTTCCAGACTGCAAGAGCTGTGCTTACTGCCGCTCCTTTGAAAAATGTCAGTGGGGGTCAGTGGAGGAGCACATTAGCAGTGGCCCCCCTGGTCTTTCTCCCGGAGTCATTAACGTTCCTCCGGCCACCTGTCTGTGCCCCAGGGCTGACTCGGGGTGAATGGCCAATCGTTTCACCTCTTGTGCCCTTCAAAGGCCTTGGCGGAAGAAACAGAAGCTTGGCGTGTGCCCTTCTGGACTCTTACACTCCATTAATAAATACCTCTGAAGCAGTTAAACACATGAGCTCTGGTCCTTCATGGATCAGTGGCTCTGCAGTGCATCGCTGGGACTGTTCACAGCCAAGCTTGCTCTAGAATCCACAATTCTCTCACCTAAACAAAGTGGCCTGTCTGCCATCTAACACAGGGGTGTCAGAGGTACCAACATCTATGGTTTAGCCATAGCATTTATGGTTTTTGACCCCCATGTTACGGCAATACGGGAGAAACCTGAAAAACCATGGTTTTCTGCTTTTTTTTTTTCTAAAGCAGCAATCATATCAAACAAATGATATTTCCTCAGCGGAAAAGCCAATTCACTGAAAGGGAAAGGATGCGTAATGTGACAGATGTAAATTTGCTCCTGGTAGTGGTTACTCTCGTTTCATGCCAACTTTATCTACATGAACTCTGACCTATGAACTCAGAAGCCTTGGCTTTGAGAGCCAATACAAATCAAGTTTCCCGGACCATGGTCTCCTTGGACAACAAAATAGGAGAAGCTGCTTATTTTTAAGTAGTAGTCACGACAAACATTTGCCTTGCTGTTTACTTACTATTAAAAAAAAAAATAGCAGTGCTGTGCACAGAGTTTTTTGTCACAAAATTCTGTTTTTTCCCCCACTGTCTGCCAAGATTTTCTTGTGAGAATTGATGGCTAGTAATCACATTTAGCACACCTGATTAGCTAATAAACTCTACAGCTAATCAGTGAAGGTGTACAATGAGCTCAAAGAAAAGAAAGCTGTGGTTTGTTTTAGAGCCACCAGGATTTTGTGCACATTTGGCTGCTGAATAAAAACAAACCCTGGAATTCAAAGTAGGAGTTGAAAAAAAAAAAAAAAGACATAAACTGAATTATTAACCAAGAAACAGTGAGGCATAATGATGAAGCTCAAGTGGCTGTAAGAACTGCATGGAAAGGCGCAGTGTGTAAAGCCGGGACTGACATCAGTATACTGGCATAAGTAATCCTGGCCCGCCTGTGTTCCCTGGCACTGAGCCGTTTCTGGGCTCCTCTTCAAGAGCAATAAAGTTTGTAAAGATTTAGGGCTGACACTTGGAGGCATCAGCATGCATGGCTTCCACGGGTGGATGAGACACCAGCATGACCCTGGTGTGCCTCCAGCTTCCTGCCAAGGGGATTTGTGTCATGGTGATGGCTTGAAACATTGCCCTGATCTGTCTCTCTGTGTTTCATCAGGAGCTGAAAGCCGTCTAACCCAGAGTCTCCTTGATTTCACAAACACGACTGAGTCAGTGAAGAGCAAATAGACGCAGCTAATCTATTAATCCAGGACGTATTCAGGGAAAATGTTAAAACATGGGAATTGAGTCTTCTTTTTCATACGGAATTAGTGACAATGTCGTTCCTCGTGATGTGGATGAGCTGAAGAATGTGTCTCATTTCATCATGTGTTAATTAAATATGCTTACTTCTAATCCTTGGAGATTTGGACTGCGCTGCACTTCATTACTTACATAAAAACATTCTGTAATCAGGTCTATAAACAATCTAGTTTACATATTTCATAATGCTAATGCTTCTTTCACAGTATCTTTATCCACAGTTATCATTCTAGCATGTTTATTGGTTTATATCATAAAATACCTGAAAGCTGATGTGTATTTACACCCTGAATCTTTCAAATAAACTTCAGCCAGGTCTGCTGATAACTTCCCAAGCACATGGGCGTGATGGTCAAGTGTTGAGAAACCTTTGGGCATATAGTGCACATTTAGGTACCTAATGAACAAGCCAGTGGCGACAGTGAGAAAGAAAAACTCCCTGAGACGACCCAAAGAATAAACCTTAAGAGAAACAAGATTCAAAATGGAATCCGTCCTGTGTGAGATGACCGTGGTGAATAGGATTATAAATCATTAGAGTATACAGGCGTAGAAGAGTAAAGACAAACAGTACTAAGTGTGCAGATTGTAAATAAGAGTGAGGATGAACACAATCTTTATGATTACAGCAGCAGTTCTGAGGTACAAATGCAACGAAATGTAAATAACAGTGCAGTATTTCCAGACAATTGAAAGACTGAAGATAAGCCCACAATGTTTTATCTTTTGAAAACCATCTATTTTCAAAAGCATCAGCAAAAACAAGCACAGGACTGTTAGCTCCTGGCAGGGCTGACATTTACAGAAACATCGCTGGAAGCACCAAGACACAAGATCGTCAGTGATGTGGGCAGACACACGGCGAGTCCTTAAAGGAACCGAGTACAATGGTAAGCCATATCAAAGTGCTCGAACGACACCCTGCCACCGGATCTCGCTGCTCCACTTTCCACCCACACACAGTGTCACGGAGATACAGATCTGCCCGCTTCCGCAACGAGGGGAAAAAACACAAACTTCAAACGCGCAGAGGCATCCTGGTGGACCCGGCGCTGGCTCAGCTGGAGAAAGACGATCAAATGGAGCACATGCCGAGCAGACGGCCTCCTCCTTCTCCGGCATGTTTTCCAGAGGAGGAACAGATGAGAGGAGGCTTGAAGCAGCAGGCCATAACTACCTCCCTCAAGCAGACTAAAGGAGGTGGAGGCCTTCAGTGCCCATACATGCCCGGGGCTGGGAATGTGTACAACCTTCTTTTGTGTCCCTCCTGAAATGTTGCGAGGCAGGCTGGTGAACACAAGCATACATACGAGTGAGAGGTGAATCAGTGCTGGCTGAATCAGAGGCAGTGTGCCTACGATGGGGAGAAAAAAAAGCAAATACTTAAGGGAGGTATGCGCTGTGAATGCTGATGAGGCTTCTTTATAAGGCTGATGCTCAGAGGATAGCGGTGGGCACATTGTGGGTGACTCATTTAAAGTGTGTGTTCTACATCAAGAACAAGCCTACACCATACTGCTGCATAACTGGAGCTTTGATGCTAAAAAAAAAATGAAGTGCAAAACACAAAATTTAGAACTCCACTGCCAAGAATCATTTAACATCCTAAATAATGTCATAATTAAAAACATTAGATGTTTCTCATTTGTAGCTGTAATCTAAAAGCCTCTATTTGAAAATATTTCAGGGAGGAACACTGGGGAAGTAAAATCTTCAGTATGGTGAATTGGTTAGCTAGTTAAAAGCTTTAAGACTAGAGATGCATAGATACCAATACTGGCACGACCTGATACCACACTCATTGGTATCTATACCAGTACAAAATGCTCTCCATTTTGTAGTATCCAATACCATACGATACTATGGGATGTAAGCCTAGTGTAGAAGATGAAGATGAAGATGAAGCAGATTTTTTGATTTAATCGATTCTTCTTAATTCCTTACTTTTACAAATAACCTGGAAGATATATAGAACATCATAAAAAAAATGGATTAAGTTGGCCTTAGCAAAAGTCTACTATGTCGCTAAGAAAACCTGTCTGGAAAACGGACTTCTGGTCCGGAATGATTGTTTGTGTTTGGATGTGCCTACTGTCAGTCATTTTAGAGAGACTCTACAGGCCACTGTAGATCCTGGGGGCAGAACTTTGTGAACATGGGTGGGAATCATTCAAATGTCGAACCCACCTAACCGTTAGAGACCTAATCTTGAGAAAACAAAGGACTAATATTACCTAATAAACCTTTAAATTCTTTCCTTGCATATCCAAGCTGGTTAGGAAGTTGGGGTCAGAGCGCAGGGTCAGCCATGATATGGCATTCCTTGATCAAGGGCCCAACAGTGGCAGCTTGGGGGTTTGATCCCCTGACCTTCTGATCAGTAATCCAGAACCTTAACCACTGAGCCACCACTGCAACAACTAAGGTGTGGCACTAATGAACAGACAAATCAAAGGAACTGCAAACTGTTAAAATATCTACAAAAATAACAAGAAGTGGAATAACAGCATCTTCATACAATACAAGTAACCTGAGAAACCTGACAATGTTTAAACAGTATCTTTAACATAGAGAGCGTGGGCGGCCGACCTGAGCGTGCAGAACAGTGTCACTGAGCGTGGTCGTTAAAAATGAGGCATGTGCGCTCAACAGGGTCTTCGCTACACCGCTCGTGAGTCAAGGTGCAATTCATGGCACCTTGCACTCATTTTAATGACCACATTCGCTGCCACTGGTCATCTTAAACATAACTAAAAGTTCACTGCTAGCAGCACATGACAGCAGCCAACCTAAACAGAGCTAAATAAGTTGTTCCACGATGATGTAGGTTACTCATTTCGGTATCAGTACAAAAAAAAAAAAATTGTGAAAGTCAATAAAGATTAGTTTTTTTTCTTTTCTTTTTTTTTTAAAGCTACTTAATAAAAAGCCCAGACACAAGATGTGCTATGTGCCTGTGGGATCATTTCGGCAATAGAAACATCCATAGCGTCCTTACCGTCCTCGGTTTCTTGCCACACGATGCCCTCCAGGTTGACGCTTGTTCCAGGCTCGCAGGGCCCCAGGCACTCAGGCTCTGTGCTCAGTGCCACGTCGGATGTGTTGACGGCCACCGAGCGCGTCCGCACCATCAGCTGCTCACACGGCGAGGCGATGTCGCTGTTTCCCACCGAGGCTAAAAGGTGGAGCGGAGGCGGGGCTGGCGTAGAGACAGGAGACTCCATCTGAATTACCAGGGAAACAGGAAGAAGAAAAAGCCAGTTAATCAGAGAAGACAGTAAGAGTACTTTGAAGAAATATAACCACGCTGATCCTCAATTTAAAAAAAAAGTACATGGAAAAGCTACAAGTATCTTAACATCCATAACAGGAAATGAGACAAACAGCATCTGCAAGCCAACTGTTCTCAAACAGAACAGAAGACAAGGCTGTTTAATGCTGTACAAATGAAAATGGAAAGGCATCATGGGATTAAAATTGTGCACCACAGAGGAAGGAATAAAATGGAACGACTTAAGCACAAAAAAAAAAAAAAAAAAAAAAAAAAAAAAAAAAAAAAAAAAAAAAAAAAAAAAAAAAAAAAAAAAAAAAAAAAAAAAAAAAAAAAAAAAAAAAAAAAAGGCAGAATTAGGTGAGTTAACGTCTCAGGGGTCGGGTGGAATTCTGGCTCTGATAAGAGGAAAGCCATCAGGAGATCCACGGAGAGAAAAAAGGGCCTCATTCACCCTCGGAGAAGTGCAATGGCGTAATTATCACGTTGGAGTGAGATCATAACAGGCTCAAAATTTCCATTACTTTCTTTGAGCCCGGGTGCGAAACATGATGCTGGGGCGAAAATCTAATGTCGTCTTAACCACTTGGTGATTTATGATCACCGTGACTTGCCAAAGCAGTGGCTGGTGTGTGAACAGCACATGCAAGTCATCATCCAACTGTCAGATCTACAGCAGTCGCAGAAAATAAGACCCGCTCCACCTCCCCAACAGCACCACCACTTTCAGCCTACATCATATCTGAGTGCCTTCATCCTGCCTTTAGAGAGATTTTTGGCCTAATTCGATGGTAGTGAAAAGGTTTAACACATTACATTTAACACATAAGGCCAGCAATCGTTCAGGCAGTTAACACACGTAATCTATTCACACCAGGTGCATCGGTACAACCGTAAATTCATGTAATTGACGGATGATGAGTTATAAACCTGATTAAAAGCACAACACTACTATGCAGTATAAATAATATTTGATATATATATTTTTTTATAAATCCACAGAACAAACCTGAAAGAGGACAGTTTGTTATTACACCTTCAGGTCGCATTTATTACTAGTGCTAACAAGCTTGTAAAAAAAAAAAAAAAAATCCAAAAAAACATTAGCTTTTAAGATTTAATTATGATTTAAAAGTCTGGAATACATATTGTCATATCTTATAGTCTTATTTTACCAAATGAAATAAAGGCTTACATTTTCATCCGTTTTGTGTCATTTACTGGTATCAAAACAAAGCTAAAACTTCCAACCAAAGTGGCTTTATCTGAATCATGCTAGCATCCTGGCACACTGGTGGCTCGCTCTTTTGACCTACTGTATACTATTTGGGACATGAGCTAAACACATAACACTACAAACTAACAATCTGAGACAGAGTGAGAATGAAGGAAAGTGTTCCTGACTCGAGACTACTGTAATAAACTGAGAAATATTTTACTGTATTTTATATAATATACTATATTCATTACATTTTTTGTGACTGTTTGAAAGACTAATGTATTTACATCTCTAAATCTTTTAACGAAGTCCATAAATGTTCTTCAGGACATATGTGGCCATTTGTAAAGATGCTTTTGGGTTTCTATTTACAGCCGAGTGATTTAATAGACATGCATTTGGGGTAAAGGAAGTTTTAGGGAGAAAACCAGAATTTACAACAAAAGACAAATCAATTAATCTGGACTTTGAAGGAGTAAAAACGACATCTGAACCAAATTTGGATTCCAGCCCAGGCGCTTCATTAGCATTCATTTTTATCTGAGTCATATCTCTGTATCACTACATACATCACTAGAACTGCCTGACCTTTTATCACGATTTATGAGTTCACAATATTCTATTACAGAATGTCATATTTACCTGCAATACAACGAGCAGATCAATGATGCAAAACATGAGCCAACTTTCGCTACGTGCTGAAGAGAAAAACAAAGACAAGAACGTGTGCTCAAGCGAAACATTACCTGTCTGCCATTTCTTTCCACAATATCTGTCTCAGACCGAGCCAACACTACTCGCAAATTTTGTAAAAGCAAAACAAAGAGCATTAACCCCACCGACCTGATCCGACACGCAAGAGCACCTCATACAACTGGGTACAGTGAGTAAAGCCAGCAGGACTAGTTAAGGCGGATGTAACAGCACAACACTCACAATTAGCAACTAAACTGTGTAGTTCATTTTTGACGGTCACCAAGAGTACAACATCAGCACAGTGATAGAACTGATTACGCTAGATAACCAGCCATTATCGGTTATCGAGGATGTGTCACTTAATAGGGATTTTAAGCAACAATATCGACAGGGATGAAAACTGAGGTAGCCGGAGGGGAAAAAAAAAAACCCACCAACACCAGTTTGACGGAAGGCTTGGGTGAGTTAATTTAACATTTATAATGTGTGTTGAATTAGAATGATATTTACACTGGATAAGGACACTATTCCTTCATCAAATTCAGAGCAATTAGGTCAATCTTAGAATTTAATCCATTTTCTAAAGACAAGTTAACTTTGAATTCCTGATATTTTATAGCATCCCATTCGACATTCCCTATAAAGTCATCACGCATCACTGCTCAGTTAAATAACATGCAGAGTAATCACAGTGTAGCACACACACAGTTACAACGTTCGGGTTCTGAGCACAAATCCAATCATGCTTAATATAATTTCATCACGACTTTCTGTAATCATATTATTAAATAATCTTTATTCAGATATTTTTATTTACACAAGCGTGTAAGCGTGCATGTGAACGGGTCAATGATAATCAGCGAAAGTGCTCGGAGGACCACTCCGACGAGAACTAACACCTTGCCCTGTCAACAAGTGGTATTAAACAGAGCAACTCACCACACACACACACACACACACACACACACACACACACACACACACACACACAGAGGAAAATCAGATTACACTCCAGATTGCACTTGCAGAATTTAGGCAGCTTTAATTCCGAGACCTGTAGCAGAGAGAGCTGCTTCTAGCGCTGACGGCGTGAGCAGGAGGCCATTCTTCGGGCGAGCGTGAAACACAAGAACGGGAGATGTAGGAAACACTCGGCAGATTACACATGGCAGCTGTGCCCGCATACACTTAACACTTCAAAGCCCGACTCCATTTCACTCGCCGTGTAACTTACAACGTGTCGAGAAGGATGTAAAGCAATCTGTCTTCAGGAGGAAAAAAAAAAAAGCTCACAGCCCTGTAATGGCTACTGATCCATCAAACGATGACATCTGTGCAGTCAATTTCTTTTTAAAGACTTATTAGTTTAAGCAGAAACACGCGTGTGCCAACATTTTTGAGCTTTATGTTTATCGCCGATCTCCAGACGCTTGATGCCTTCCATTTCAGCGAACCATAAAAAAGTCATTTATTTCTTAATTGGCAATTTAAGTTTTAGCTCTATAAATAAAGCACTTCAACAAGACAGCTTTTTCTGGCAGACATATTTTATTTTCTTCAAGTGCAAGGTGACAATAAGGGCAAAAATATGCACTTAGAAATTGAATTACAGCGCTTATTTTTTTGTAGCTTCCTAAAACAGAGAAAGAAAAAATACTCCTTATATACTCCCACAAATGTTTTCATTTAGTGTGCAGCTACATTCAATTTAAGCCTGCACAATATATCCAAATTATCAAAATATCACAAATGTAAATATCGCGATATGCATATCACAAGGGCTTGCAATAAGTGAATGATTTTAATACTTCAAAAAGTTACGAAAAGTCAAAGTTTTAGGGCAATGAAGATAGCAGGGAATGCTTTCTTTTCCTCAAAAGAACACGAAACATGCATGTTGGTTGTCATTTTCAGTTTTTAAATACATAAATATATATAATTTAAATCGATTTTACACACTTATAGCATTATCGTACCGCATATCGCATAATTTAACAAGTTATTGCATATCGCATTTTTCTTCAATATCATGCAGCCCTAATTCAATTCCCACCGCCTGCTTCACTACACACACGGCATCGTTGACGCTATAACAATTCTTACTAGACGGATTAATTAACGCGCACGAATTCCAATGCAAAGTTGTTCTACCTCGCTAATAAACATACTGAGAGAAAATAAACACTCAACTTATTTTACGTGAGATGCGAAGACAAAACACCACGGCTA